TGCGACGCCAGCTCCGCCCTCAAAAAAAGTACAATAAAGCTTTAAATATAAAGCAGCATATCAATTTTATTCAGTAATTGCAAAAATCATATTTTTGTTACTGTTTAATAAGTAATTGTTATTACTAGCATGAAAGACATCAATTCATGAGTATATTCATCTGAAATAACTGATAAATTCAATCCCATTTATAGCTTTTTTGCATCTCTAAGATGTCTAGATTTCTCTTTTTTTCTTTCCTTTTTGGTTTGAGATGCCATTTCGCATGGGAGATGTCCCTGTGTTTTGACAAAATGAGTACAGAAGCAGTAAGGAAGAAGTCTTGCCTGTTGTTCCCCGATAATTGCTCACCCCTTCAGGATCTCAAACAGTGCATATTGAATATCTTCTTGTAATCTTTATTCTCCAACAGGATATCTCTAAATATGAACCTTCAGCCTATGTTTAATAATAATTTACTAGATTATTTGTGAACATAAAATACATGATCTTCATTAAGATTGCACAGATGTAGTTTGGAGTCTCAATGAATGTACATGTGCACAAAAGATGAGGTTAGGCAAACAGCTCTGAATTACCATAAGAGCTCTGTTGTTGTTTTTCAAATAAGCATACCATGAATTCTGAAAAGAAACTGGCATCGTTCCAAAATTAAGGCATGAGTTAAAGCACTGACTATTAAAATATTTGTTATACTGCTTTGACAACCTAAATTCTTTCCTGGTCATTCAGAGCCTGTCAAAAGACCATACAAGGGAATCTGTTTTTCTTACGGTTTACAGTTTAACTGAGATGTCTGTACACTGAAACATGCATATTTGGCAACTACATGAGGTGTCATATCAAATCTGCTGATCCAAGAAACTCCTTTCCTCTTCTTTCATAAAACACACTTAATGGTATTACACATATTCTATTTACGAAATATTAAATTGCAACAGTGATCCAGTATTAATGTCACGGGTATCACAAACTTGAATTATTAAGATATAAAACATTAATAACTCCCTGAATTAAATTAATGAAATCTGAAGAGTTCACTTCTTCTGATAACTCAGATTTCCCAAAACTATTTTTACTGAAGCCATTCTCACATGCAGAAAATGTCAAGTCAGGTTGTTCTTCTTGTAGTCATAACCAAAGTTGGGGAAATATTTTATAATGTAAATAAACACACAATAAATAGACATAATGTATTTTATGTTACTAAAAAATAAAGTGTTATGCTAGAAGCAGTGAATGGAACTATATTCCTGTGCACTATTTTCAGTTGCTCCATTCTTTGAAGTATTGAATATCAAAAAAAAAAAAAGGAAGTCTGTATATTTTGAGGGAGAGAGACATACAATTTTGTAATATTATAAAATTATAAGTATTATAAAATTATAATACTTGTAATTTTAGAAAAGAACCAAGCAGAAGAAGAGACTTCTTTTATCTCCTGTTAGTACTAATACTCATTTTCTAGAAGTGTGCTGCATTAGTAAGAAATAATCTAAAATAAATAGTCTATTCAGCTTGAGCAGCAGCAGCATCCACAGGGCAATGGGATGGGGGGAAGGAAATCAGCCCAATGAAAGCAATGTCACCATGCGAGCCCTGCCTCTTTTCTCAGCACTACATTATTTCTTGAGTAAAGGAAATATATGTGTGAATGTGTGCATATGCGTGTAAACTGTTCAGAATAATGTTCACAAGTAGCAGCAGTGTACATGCAATCTCTAGACCTGGCACAATATTTTCTTGGTATGAAATAATAATAGTGTATCATCTTAGTTCAGTAATTTCCTTGTCTTTGCTTCATGCAACGTGGATCAGAACCCAGCTGTTTGGGCCTTATCCAAGGTAAGATGATTATTCAGTTTTATTATGGAAATATTTAGGTATTATAAATGTTCTCAGAACCGTTCACAATTGATAATATTTCTGAGTAAGTCTTATTCATTATTCACTTTCATACAGCCTGCTAGAAAAGATAGAACAAGAAACTTGGAGGGAGACGGGTGTTTCTTTTGTTACATCAGTTACTCGTCTGATGGAGCGCCTCCTTGACTACAGGTAATGCAGTTATTCACAGTTCATGGACATCTGATATATAGTGCAAGTGATGTCAGTAGTTTTTTTTTTTTTTTGTCTGCGCTCAGTCATTGCTGACCCTGCAGTGACTGCTTGGACAA